CACCACCAGAATGATTGAAAGTGGTGAAGTGTGGTGTAGGGAGGCAATGGTGACAGCATGGCAGCTTGTAGAGTGCATTAGCAGGAGGGCAGCCAAGGAAGAAAATAAATGGCTGGAAAGCAGAATACTTGGGAAGGCAGGAGAAGGTGGTCTTTTCAGTTCAAGTGTTGGGGCAGAGGGTTTTCTCCTGTTTCTCCCACATTTCTCCATCACTGAGTGATTTGCTTTTCTGTAGTGAATTTCACAGAATGGTGAGAAATGACTAAAAAGGAATCAAGCAAAGTCTGTTATGATCTGCACAATGGTGAAAGAGAAGGCAGTGTATGGGGCTGGCTCTGCTGTCAGAGGGACTTGGACATATCCTTCTCCCATCTCCTTCCCTTTTCTGAATCCTGGACACAACTCCTCTGCCTCACTTCATGTCCCTCTGCAATCCAGGCAGCTGCTGCATCCAAACCCACATAGGAGAGCAGCTGCCCTTTTTTTGTAGGACTGTGAAAGAGACAGAGAACAGTGGGAGCTCAGCTTCCACAGGTCACTCATACCAGTGGGCCAGACATGGGCTGGGGAAGTTTGGGTTAATTATGTTTTTGTTGACCACTTATAGGACTCTGGTTTTGCCTTGAATGTCTCCAACTTCCCCTTGCTGCTGGCTGTGATCAGATGGCCTGGGAAGCTGCAGGTGGTTGATGAGTTATTGGGGAAGATACCTTGGAGGATGTAAGATGCTTTGTAACACCTTTCTGTGTTGGGAGTGTAGTGTGCTGTGCAGGGAGGCTGGTGTGGAGCCACGATGCAGACCTGGGAGGTGATGGTCCTAGCAATAGCTCTCTGTCCCAAGTGTTAGCGCAGTACAAGTCTGACAGAGTACTGTGCTATGCTTCATGGAACAAGCAGTGTGCAGGCAATCCTGGAAGGACAGTTTAGCAGGGCAAGTTGTAGTTACATTTAGAGGGATTTGGCTGGGAAAAGGAAAAAAAAAAAAGAGAAAGCAATTTAGAAGCCCTGCTCCCATTTTCTGTACGGTAATTCAAATCCTCTCACCCCCTGCTCAGGTGCCTTGGGGGCGCTCACATTTTCTAAGTGTGTGTTTTTGCTGGTAGTTTTCTTGGTACCTCCTCCCGCCCCCTCTAACCCTTAAGCCCTAGTTGCACAGCAGCGGTACTGTGCCTGAACGTGACTTGGTTTCACGAGGTGGATGGTCTGTTGCCTAAACTGCCCCCAGGGCTGGATTAAATGAGCTTTTTAACACTACAGCGTTGGCAGTGACCTGTAATGCGGAATTGTATCATCCTTGTCCCTCCACTGCTTCCTTTCCTGCCGGGCTCCAAAGGCCTTGTGGCTGTAGCACTCACCCAGACACCCAGCCCTTGTGCCCACGTGTAATCCTGGGTGGTTGCATGTCCATTGTCAGCCCAAGAGCCTTCCTTCTGTGAACCACTACGGCTTCAGAGTGAGATGCTTCTGGGGATGTGCCCATCTCTATGGAGCGGGCATCTAGATCCCGTATACTATGGGTTGCTCCTGGTGTGCTCGCTGGTCACCAGCCTTATGACACAGAGTACTCTGTGGCGGGCGCCACCGAGCGCAGGGGCCTGGGCTGTCGGTACGGGAGAGTACCTCGCAGTATCACCGCGTCCCCAGCAGCTGCCTCGTGGGGCTGAGCCGTGCCACCCGCCGGCCGCCGAAGTACCCGGTTTCCCAGAGCTGCGCCGCTCCAGCCGTAGCGCAGAGCGCATCCTCAAAGGCTGCGGAGCCGGCCGGCGGGCAGCGCGCAGCCCCGGCGCCCATTGCCGGCCGGGGGCTCCCCCGCCGGCCAGGCCGGGAGGAGGAGGAGGCGGAGGAAGCGGCGCGGAGCCCTCCGCCCCCTGCGGCGGAGCGGGGGGGCGAGGCGTTAGGACCAGGAGGCGGCGGCGGCTGGGCGGTGCGGGGCCAGCCGTTCAGCCGCCTCTCGCCTCTCCCGTCGTTCCTTCCGCAGCCGCCGCTGCCCGTCGAGGCAGCGCTTCCAGGCTTCCCCGGGCCGCTCGGCATGAGGAGGATCAGGGCCAATGCCATCGCCATCCTGACCGTCGCATGGATCCTGGGCACTTTCTACTACTTATGGCAGGACAACAAGCCCCGCTCGGTGGCCGCCGGCAGGTCCGCCGGCAGCGGTAGCGGCAGCTCCCGAGGCGGGCAGAGGGCTGCCGGCAGGCTGGAGCTCCGCCGGGAAGAGAGAACCATCCCCCTCATCGTGAGTGAGCCGCGGCCGCACAGCATCCCGCCCTGCCGCGGCGGGGAGCGGGCAGGGCTTCGGGCTGCTCTGCCTTTGTGGCAGCACCCGAGCTTGTCACCATGGCAGCCGCGACAAGCGGGGAAGCAGGGTGGGCAAACCCCAGGGGAGGCGAGCAGCGTCGTGGGTAAAGTATCTGCGAGTTGCCTCCTGTCCGCCGGCTCGCCGGGCACGGCTGCTCCGGCTGCGCGGCTGTCCTTGGCCGGGAAAAAGGGAGGGTGAAACGGCTGGAAGGGTTTTGGTTCGCGCTCAAGAGGCACGTACTTTATATACATGCATGTGTAGTGTATATGTGTGTGTGATCGCAGGTTTTCCCATCACACCAAATCAGAGCTGTGACCTCTTGCAAGCCCTTCCCCGGCAGCTGGGCTCTGGGCATCGGACAAGGGATGCAGGCAGCATCACACACATACTGTGAAGATGGTACCAGCCTCTGCCTTGGCTCCCTCTGCTTTGCTGCCAAACGGGACCAGGGCGCAGCTTGCAAGCCGGGTCAGTTCTAAGCCAGAGACAGCAGCCTGTGAGTGGGGCTCAGGGCAGGTTTTGGGCAAGGTGGGAGACGGGGGGAGCCCCTGGGGCTCCTTCTTAACCCACAGAGTCCTAGTGATGACCTGATGTGCTACTTCAGATTTTCTTTAAAAGCCCCACTCCCTGCCTTCACTGGGTGTCTGTGGACTCAGTAGGGTGACAAAATCAAGCTCCTGACTTAAGGATGATGAGGACCTTCCTGCTCTGTCCGTGGAGGAGGTTTGTCCTCCTTCAGCCTGTGTAACAGCAGCAGTAAAGCTCTCCCAACTACGCAGTAGCTTCATAAAAATAAACCAGCCCTTGGAGCAAAAGTGCCTCAGCAGTACCATTCCCAGGAGTGATCCAGCTGAAGCAGTTCGGGAACCGCACTGTGTGTCACTCTTTGGCTGCAAATCCATTTATCAGCTGGTTACGCACACATGGAAGGGAACAAAAGCAGCAACAGCCTGGTTGGGGTTGGACCACGGGCTGGGGCTCTCTGCATCCTCCTTGACTGACACTGGAGGGTTTTGGCCTGTGTCTCTCTTTCCCCCACCTGTAAAGTGGGGTGGCAGGTAGGGGTGTGGGTTTGGGAAGCCTGTGAATGTCTGGGAAATGCTGGGAGAGCATCCCTAGCCCTCGGGTTGCAGGGTGGAAACCCTTCAGCTGAGACCCTCAGCCATGTCTCGTACCTGCCAAAGCTCAAAAGTCAAAACTGAAGCTTTTGGGCAGCTGCTCATTAGGGCCAGGGGCTGTCAGCAGTTGTGGCTGCTCTGCTGAGAGTCCCTCTACAGAGCAGGACTATGGAAACGAGCACAGTGCCTCCCAGACGAGGGGCTCTGTGTGGGTGCTGTTACTGCCATAGCCCTTTGAGTGTGCTGAGAAATGTTTTTGAGCTGGCCGGGGCTGAGTTGAACAAACGGAGGATTTGGAGCACTGCTGACTGTTGGATTCCACCTTAGCAGAGGGGGAAGCTGTCCCTGAGCCCTTGATTTCTTATGCATGCTTGAACATGCTGCTCTGGCAGTTTTATTTCTCCGTTCTCCTGCTTATCCCATCCATTTTTATTTTTTTTTTTTTACGGCATTTATTTTACTCCCTCTCAGAGGGCTTGTGAGGTTACATGAATCCATATAGTCTGCTAAGTATATTAAAGCCCTCGGGAGGAGGATGCTGTGGCAGTGCCGCACGTTGTTATGTTGCTGCTGTTGGCGAGAGGCGGTACATGCTCATGGCTAACCACAAAGCCTCTCATTACAAGCTATAGTGCAGTGTGACAGCCGCTCCAAAGCTGGTCCGGCTTCCCGAACAATGTAAAGCATCCCAGCTCTGCTCCACACCTGAAATCCCTTTGTGGGGAAATATATTCATCCTTTGCCTCTTCTGCCCCTCAGCCACTGGAGTATGCCAGCCCTCCTTCCCCTTAAGTCTTGGTCTGCCTGGCAGGTGGCGGCTGGGACAAAGGAGGAACCTCTCCTCAGGCACCTGACAGTGGGGCATGGTGGAAATATCACATCCTGACCTGACCTGTTTGCATGGAGAAGGGAAACGGGGGTGGGGGGTGGTTTCTGGTGTTTGGGCTTCCTCTCATGCATGCGGAGTGGTTTCCTAAGGGTTTGGTGGGTTGCCATAAGACACAAGCTGGTAAAACGCAATGTGTGCGCTGTTGTAGCTGTGCAGTGGCACGGCTGTTGGAGAGCCTGGAGGGCTTCACTGCGATGGAAAGTAAATAAGCTGTCCCAGCACGGCCTCTGCCTGCACTGCTGGGTGGAAGCAGGGAACTGACTGCAGGCAGCATGGAGCAGGAAGGTTGGCAGGGGTTCAGGGAAATCACCCCTTGTGAGGGATGGTACCCGGCTGGGGTCTGAGCAGTTGGTCTTGTGAGCCGAGTTGACCGTGTGAGCCTGTGGGGCTATAGCTGTGCAAGCGGTCCTCAGCACGCATCCCTCTCCAGTTCCTGGGTGCACAGCGTGCGGGCTGAGGCACTGCCCACTGCCCTCTCCCAGCTAGCATGGAAAATGTGCTGTTTCAACTGCTCTGCTGGAGAAATGTAGAGCAGCAGCTGTCCTTTTGCAGTGCAGAGCCCTCAACCCTGAGTTCATTCCCCGCAAAGTTGAATTGCTTGACTTCATGTATAATGGCAGTCTTGTGTAAGAGAGGAGGCGTGCCTATGCTCCGCCTGCTTCTCGTGTCCTCGGCCTCCTGCAAAACTGCCCATTTTGATCCAGCTTTTGGTTTCCTCTGCTCTGCATGAGTGATGGTGTTGGAGTTCAGGTTTGGGCTCATCTGCAAATAAGGGTGACTCATGTGACTTACGGGTCTCTGGAAAATATTTTCTCAGTTTTCTAAAGTTGGCTGCTTTTCTGTCTGGGAAAAAGAAAAAATCTTGTCTTTTGGGTGAGTCCAAGAGTTCTGCTCTTGTGTCTGTGCTGGGACACTTCAAATCCTGGGCAAATGATGGTGAGTTGCGTGGCTTCTAAAACTTGAATTGCTTGCTGGCCTTGTGGGCTTTTTCATTATCCTCTCCCAGTGCAAAAAATAGAAATAATCCCGCGTACAAACTACAGTCAATTGCAAGTCTGACTTTGAAACTGGTTTCCTGTTGTTGACCTCATGTTTATTAGCACAACTTTAAGCTTATGATCCGAATTCTGGAGTCAGCAAGGGAGGTCTGACTATTAAAGTTGGGGCAGAAGGGCTCTCAGAGATCTAAGTTCCAGAAATAGCTTGTGCATTAATAGTAATTCTCCAGATCCCTGCTTTATATCCAGAAATCTTGACATGTACTCTCTGCAGCAGCCTCTACCCAGATGGGTCCTACAGATGCCAGAAATAAACATGCAGAAATTGATAAAGGGCATGGCTGACTACGTGGCACACTGAGCCCCTGCATGCTTTCCCTTCCACCTGGGGTGGAAGCACGAGTGAGTATCACAGTCCTAGGAATGCATTTTTTCTCTGGATCACAGCATAGTTTAATTTCAATTAGGAGGAGGATCCCTGGACCCTCTAATAGTTGGTTTGTAAATTGAGTGTTTCTGGAGGGTGGACTTCTTCCCTGGGCTCTTCCCTGCCCCTCCCAGGCAGCAGGTTGCCTCCTGCTCCTTGGAAATTTCCTGGATTCAGAAGCTGTGCAACACGTGTTTTGGAAGGACATTGGCATCACTGGCTTGATTTCCACACTGCATACAGGCACTTAATCATTCACTACGTGCTGCTTGTCTGCTTTAGCATGGTGCAGACATGGGCAGAGCCCAGGACTCCTGCCTCTGAATATTGCATGACCAGATTTTCCTCCTGTTTTTTTTTTTTTAGCAGGAAAGCAGCGATGTGGCTGGGAGATGGTGATAGAAGAGTATCATCACTTAAATGCTCTGAATCATGTTAGGCTGGTACTCAGTTGCTCTTTGGAGCAAGTACGCTGTCTCTTATCTTTGTCCTGCCAACTTGTGTGACCCGTGTAGCTCCTTTGTGACCCTGTTTGGCATCTGAGAGACCTTGTGCTGTAATACTGGCTCAGACCGCCTGGGCTCAGCTCTCCTGGCTCCCCTCTACTATGTGCTCAGCTGTATAAAATGAGCACAAGGGAGATGAGATCAAGGCATTCTTTTCCCTTGTAGCAAAGGGTTTCCAAATGCTCTGCAAACACTGCTGAACTGAGAGTCACCTGCCTGTGGTGAGACAGTGAGTGGGAGAATCCTCTGGGATGTGCTGCTGATAACTGAAAGTGTCTGTAGGCATCGAGCAAGTTGGTGAGGAAAGATGGCAATCCTTTGTTTCTCACTCTTGTTTAGCCACAAGATAGGCAGTGGCTGGGGTTTCCCTGCTTCTCTGGGTAGCCAAACTGTTGCGTTTACCCACACTTGTACTCGCCACTGTGTAAGACTACCTTGATGTAATCGTCTTCAGACACCGGTAGACTTGGCCAAACTGCACTTGTTTTCTGTTGCATTTGGCTGTGGGTACCTGAATCCCATGGAGCAGGTGCGGCTGATGTTCACTGTTCGTTTGTGAATTATTTTATTCCCATTCCTTCATCACATTCCCTCTGTGTGCAGCTTTCAGGGATGCTCTTTTCATCACAAGTGGGATAAGCTGCTTATCATGGATCAATAAGTGATACCACTTTTCAGGGACTTGTATCCCACAGGGCTCCTGCATGTGTGCCTGCCAGAGGCAGGTCTTGCAGGCTCAGAGATCCTAAATAATAATAACAAGAGGGGTAAGAGCACTAATTCCTTGCGTTGACATATTGTCAAGTTTGTGAAGTACAGGTTTGATTTCATGGCCTGCTGTGCTGTGGAGAGAGAAGGCCTAATATTTATGAGATGCCACAGCTCACTTCAGCAGTCTCCTTACTGTTTGACTCTTACGAGGTTGCTCACTCTGGCATCTCCTGCCTTTTGGGGCAAAGATCAGGAACGTGGCTATATGGGTTTCTTTCTGCTCTTATGCTGGGTGGCTGTGTGTTGGGGGGTGAGGATTGGCCCTTAATACTTGGGGGTTTATAGCAGCTGCTTCTGCTGTGACCAGACACCTGCAACACTGATTTTGTTGGGTCCCTGTGGATCGCTGTTACGGCAGATGAGAGGCCTGCGCCAGCTCCCTGGGAAAGGATGACTTGTTAACTATTTCTCCAGGGGTATTACTGCAGCAGGAAGATTCAGTGGCAGTTTGACAGCTTAATATTTTATTTACACTGTTTATGTTTTAAAAATGTGGGAACGAATGCTGTTTGTTTAAATGGCAGAAAACTATTTCATATTTAATTTTTGCTGGTGGCCCATGTGGTGTATTAAAAAGTAAAATAAAAGAAATGATTCACGATAATGATGTTAATAAAATCCAGTTGGCAGCTTTGGCTTTAATTGTTAATCACAGTGACAAGGTAGCTGCAGTGAGGTAGCTGGGGCTTGGGCAGCATGGTGGTCTGGGCAGCCCGGCATGGTGTGCAGGGCAGCTCTCCTGAAGATGACTTCTTTGTTTTTACCATTTTGTTCCCACTAAATAAGTGGGTGAAGCAGCTGCACATTGTAGCAAGCTGAAGCATTCTGTCAGTGTGCAGCTGCTTCCCCAGTTAGATTCGGTTTTGTGTGCACAAAACTGTACTAAGATTTCAAGGCTAAAAATTTAGCAGTGTTTGAAGGAAAGAGAAGCCTTTGACAGACATCTCGGGTCACTGTTTGCTGAGGTTGAAACTTGGCCAGGAGCTTCATCCCAGAGTCAGGAGTCACTTGAAATGCAAGGGGAGAAGATGCGGTTTTGTTTCAGCAGCAATGAGCTGGGGCTGCTGTGTTGGAGTGTTGAAAAATGACTTAATTATTCCTAGTAGAAGAACATGCAGCCTAGCACAAAGGCAGTGAAATAAACAGGCAAACCTGCTGGGGATGAAGCACATGGGTCAGTGGGGGACCCTGGCTCGCCTGTGCCATACATCATCTCCCTTCTGCAGGGAAAGCCCCAGAGTAGAATGTGGCCGTGTTGTATCTCTTGCTCTTCCTTGGATCTCCATATGATGCCAGACAGTTGGCCTTATCCCACTGCATCCCAGTGGCAGTCCCAGGACCACCTTCTCTCTTTCCTGTTTCAGTGGCATATGCAGCCCCCTTGTGCTCCTCCAGCCTTATTTGTCAGCGCCTGTAGTAAGGTTGTAGGCTCTTTGGGGCTCGTCATGTTAGTTGTCAGTGCTGTTCTGTCTGTACGGTGCCAAGTGCAGAGACTGTGATCCACAACACATACCGTACTATTGCGTTAAGGTGAAGACATAACTAAAGAGAGATCCTGGGAGCCAAGCTGGCTTACAGACTGAGCTGCAAACTCAGCTGTGTCTAAGTTTCCTCAAAGTCTAAAATGGAGCTCTTATCTGCTTCGCAGGGCTTCTGGGAGGCTTAGCTTGCAAGTTTTCAAGCTTAAACAGGGGAGACTTAGGTTAGATATAAGGAAGAAATTCTTCTCTTCTCACCATTAACGAGGATGGTGAGGCACTGGCACAAGTTGCCCAAGGTAACTTGTGGACCCCCCATTCCTGCCAGTGTTCAAGGCCAAATTGGATGGGGCTTTGAGCAAGCTGGTCTAGTGGGAAGTGTCTCTGCCTGTGGTAGAAGGTTTGGAATTAGACGATCTTAAGGTTCTTTCCAACCCAGACCATTCTATGAGTCTATGTTGTGCTTTGAGCATATAGGTAATTTCTTGATGTTGGTAGAGCCTGAGCTTTTGATAGACAGTTCATGCTCTCTTTGGAGCTGCTTTCTTTCAGCTATTTCAGGGGCATCGTCCCTGCAGAGACTCAACCTCTGCAGTGGCAACGCAGGTCCCGCAGCACTGCTGGTGTCTAAGCCTCCTGCTACTCTGGGACGTGAATGAAGCTGCCACGTGGGGCTGCCCCTGGGAAGGGAAGCTGTGTTGGCTGGTCAGATGATGCTTGGCTGGTTGTTCTGCCATGATGGAGCAGTAGGGTTGACTTTGCAATTCAGGCTTCAAGGTGTCGTGGTCAGGACTCTGTTATAGCATGGGAACTGATGACGTTTGGCTGAAGCTGCAGAACATTATCTACTTTAACCTTCTGTTTTCTTTCTCCTAGCTCCCAACTTTTTCATCTTGTAAGCTGAAATGTGGTACCTAGGAGGAGGCTTTGTTTTAAAGTAGCAAGGAGAGAGAAAGCAACTGTGTTGCAACCTGCATCAGCCCTTTGATGAGCCTGGAAGGGGAAAAAGAAAGGAGTATTTTTCTTGCGTTTTTATTTTGGATAAGCTGGATCTTGAAACAGGCACAGCTTGGCTGCAAAAGTGCTCCTGCCCAGTGAAGGTGACTTCAGAGCTTCTCTGAAAACGTCTTCCTGCAGGACAAAATTAGAAAACCCTGATGCTTTCCATCTGCTCGCATGCTGAGTGCCCTGAATGAAGTATTCAGTGCCAGAGAGTCATGCTCAGTAGTGCCATGCTGTACTTTTGTGCCTTTTGGTATCAAGCATGCAGTAAAAAGACTAAAAAATGAGGAAGTGCACGTAAAAGCTGTGGAAAGCAGTGCAGCTCCTTGGGTAACTGGTGAGTTAGTCTCCGAGCATGGGAATGGGGATACAGTGGCAGTGTGAACGGGAGCCACCACATCCACGCAGGGAAATTTAGAAATTTCTGTGCTGCTTATGTAGTTTCCCAAAGTATCAGAGTTAGGAAATGTGACTGTTTCAAGTCTGCTCACTGCAGACTCCTGGTGCTCAGTGATGTGATTGTGCTGTATTTCCCAAGTGCTGTAATATGCATGTGTGTGTTTGTCTGTTTTCTTTATACCTTTCTGGGAGATTTTTGGGGGGTCTAGTTGTGTGGTAGGCATTACCAGCTACACCAGGCTGCTGATGGAGTAGGATGTATGTGTTACAGAACCTTCTGAGATGTCCTGGT